CATTCACAAAGTGTTTGAAAAAAAATGCATTATTTTGCCTTAAACTGTGGTTTGCACAGGAAAATAATGTACTTCCATTTCTCACACAGGCAACTAATGGATTTAGCAGAATTCATAAATAAAAGATACCAACATATTCTCCGGCAGTGTCTAGAAACACTGCACTTTAATGCACTTTGCCAACAGTTTTATTTAACTCTCTTTCATTTTTCCTTATTGCCTCTATCAATGATGGCATTTACTGACACCTCCTTAAAGTATAATCAGTACAACTGAGTCATCTAACAGGTTAAAGCAGCAGAATCTGCACAGAAACATTACTTAATAGCTATTTTCACGATGCAAAGATTTTTCCAGGATAAGGTTTGCTATGTAGACAGAAGGCTGCAATCATGAGCAAGGCAGTCTTTTGGGGCCTCCATCCCCCATTTGTACACCGTGAGTGAAATCCCCCTCACCTAAGTCTCAGGACAATTTCAGTTAATACACATTTTCTCAAGGTGCTTTTTTTTTCAGCAGGAGTCCAACTACCACTTGTCTTCCTTTCTGAACAACAGGTATCCTCAATTCCTGAGCAATTCTACATGGTGCCACCTTTAACAAGCACCCATTTACAGCTACGGTAAACTCAGAGTGCCAAGTCCTAAGGACTGCTGAAGTCTATTGCACAAAACTGATTCTAACACTGATGTAACATCAGAGCCTAATTCTGGATTTATTGAGGCAGAAATCAAAAATAAAATAAAACGTTTAGCACCTTGAGGAACCACAGAAGTCAGCAGCTGTTCCATGTCTACATAAACATTAGAAATAACTCGGGAAGTATTTTGAGTGCATCTCATTTAGAGAAATGCCATTTCTCTTGAGTTATCTCGGCTTCCACTTCCCATCACCAAATGCAAACTAGATCTATAGATAGAGACGAAATAGTTCTGCAGTTAATGCTAGAAACTATTAATGGCAAGTCCACCATGTGACCAGAGAACATGCCTGTACAAAGACTCTGTATACGGAAAACCAACATGCAGCTGGAAAATGTCCTCAATGTGCGGGCCTCGATGTGTTCAAAACAATGACAGATTTTCCTCCTAAAACCATACACAATTCTGAAGTGTGCAGCTGTTCACCAAAATAATAATAAAAAAGTCACCATGGAGCCAGCGGCTCTTCTGCAGAGTTACAGGTAGGGTACTCCAGGTGCCTGCACATCAAAGGCTGAACTGCCACAGTCCAAATCTAACAGGATAAGTTAGAGGACCACTGTTTCTAAAGCATTAGTAAATACAATTCTATATACTCAGGTGCCAGAAAAGGAATCAAATGAGGTTTATCTACCACACACGAGTAAGTGCTTTACACTGACATTTGGAACGTTTTTAAAGTTGGACATATAGATGTTATGCCAGAGTGTTAAGGCGCTTTTACTGCTGGAGAACCCGCAATAAATGCATAACCCCCTCCCCCACTGTATACCGTTGTTGCACAATGCCGGTTATGAAACAAAACTTGTTCCATGACTAACAGGTAAAATTATTGTAAAAGAAAAATCCCTGCTTCAAAAGGTAAAAAAATCCCATCTCTTTTGAGAGATGTTCCAACAGGTTCTTTAGCATAACGAGTAACATTTTACCTGTTTCAGGAACAACTAATATTGAGCCATACTGAAGTGTTTTAAGGTATTAAACTGTACCAGACATCTGCTCCAGAACAGCATGGAGAAGGATACAAAATGTCCTATACCTCTGCAGCATTCGAATATTTGTTCATGTTCAATTTTTGGGTTAACAGTTTAGCAACAACTAAAATTTACTTCATAATTTACAAACGCTGAAGCATTACCTAGAAAAAGAAAACGCGTGTCTGCTTCAGTGACTGGTATAAATAAATTAACCTTGCTTAGCTGTTTACATGCATACTGGATTCTTAATCAACAGCAGGATTTCAGTGTAATTACGTTAAATCAGATTAACTATACCAGCTTATACCACCTGATGGTGTAAAGTAAACACCTGAGGAGAAAAATGTAAGGGATTTTCCTCTTGCCCATTTCCTATAGTTTTATTTAAATGTAATTTATAAAGTCAGTGTGTTCATATCTGAATTGGAAACAAGACTATAGCCTACATTCCACCTATCAAAAGTAACATTTCCCTTAGGTTTGCTCTCAAAGAATGTCTACTAAACCCAGTGAAAGCCTTTCAGAAGAGAAAGGCTGCTAAATAAATACTGTGAAAAGGCTGAGATTTTCCAATACAAAAGGAAAACCATAAGGTCTGTCTTGACTTTTAATGGCAGACAAACTTTGCTGCAGGCTCTTTTATTTTAAGATGACAGATTGCTGAGAAGGGCGGGGACTGGTTGGGATGAGAGAGAAATTGCAGCCAATTTTAAAAGGTATTGTTAAGAAACTAAGAATAAGGAGAAAACAACTTCAGTGGTCCATGATTACTAAAGAACGGGTTTAGCCAGATAAACAGGTCTGCTATCCCTGAAGGGATTTGAAAGAATATCAAACACAACTTTATTAAAATGGATTACGTGACACTTGCTTTAGACTTTGAAGGGAAAAGCTTTACAGAAGTCCTTCTTTAAAAAAAAAAACAACACAACCACACACAAAAAAAATCAAAGCTTAATAGTGCTGTATGAATTCACAGTTCTGGGGGATGGGATGCACAGAGGCCCACACCCAAATTTAGCCCTCGGCATCAAGCCCTTCTTTTTGGAGATCAATGGTGAGATTCCCCTGCACTCCTGGGGAGCTTGTGCAACTTCACAGGCTTTCCTGAGTTTGCGCCCATTTACTTTAACATTCATTTAATGGATTTACGGTAAGGGGTAAGTCAGAGATCTTGCTTGTGATACACATTTCAATCATATGTTAAGGCAGAGATCAGAATCGGTGCTGGAAATCTTCAAGTATTAAGTGAATATTCAAGAGAGTTAAACTAATGCAAACTCTGAAATAATTCAGGTAACAGGATACAGACTCACATTCTTGCATGTAATGTATGCTTTAGACAGTTTATCCCTTCATTCACCTCCCCAGAAGACCCTTTGTATCACAGACCTGCTTAAGTTGACTAGATTTTTATCTAAAACAACATTCTTGTTTCCATGAATACATCAGCTCCTCTGACCTTTGCACATTTATCCACATTTCTAAGGTTAAATATCTATAGGTAAAGAAAGTGAAGGTAACAATAAACATTAGTGACCCTAAGCAATATATATGAGCGATGTGGTATGCATTTCTATGCACACAAGTATTACTTTTATAAACCCCAGTCATTACTAATCAAGGTACAAAAAATATATAAATTGATTTAAAAAAGGTAAACTATATGTTTCAAATGCTGACTGTGCAACATTCAAAAAGCTTTGCTTTTATCTCTCTTCCTAGTTGTTGTATAATAGCAAGCGAGATATTTAAAACTGGTATTTAGTTGCTGGCTAAAGTGCGTAAGTGGAAATCACACACTCTTAAATTTATAGATTGTTTATTAAAGAGCAACAGGATTATACTCTCTGACATTACTCAGGTTTATGGCCTCATGAACATATTCCTTTCTTACTAAGCTTTCTGCTAATGAGTGATCATATATATCAAAAATATTTTTAACAGTGTTCTTTAGTCTACTACTAATGCAAAGCAATAATCTTTGTACGGTTGCTTTTAATTTTTTACTGTGACTGCAACACAGATAACTCTTTCATATATCAAAACAAAATTTCCATAGTAACATTTAGCCTGGAGATACTCCATTTTTTTTACAATAATCCAACGATCCATTCAAAATAGCTGCTGAATAGAAGGCCTTGTTTCCATAGAGATAGTGAAACATTTTGTTAGATCATAGCTCATGCTAAGTTTTGTTTTGACTTTTGCTTTAAACTTAGGTGAAACCCCACTACGTGAACGGCACAGCCGTAGCGCCGACAGCCTGCTTCAGTAAGCGAGTTGCTTGAACTGTGTTTTGCTCTGAATCGACGTCCACACATAAAAGAGCTGGGGTTCATACTCAATTTTAAAAGCAGGAATCGCAGCCCTCTCATTTGATTTCTTTATGAAATCAGTCATGTGCTTTTCCCTGATTTAGCATGACCACTCCCGTACTAAGATCCCAGCAAGGAACTGTCCGAAATAGTTTTAGGACTGCTGTTGGTGAGCTACATTTTTCTCTCCGTCTTGCTCTCTCCTCCTTTCCCCCTGCCTCAGCAGGTGAAGGCTTAGGAAGAGCACCTAGGGCGGTTCCACCTCTCAACCGCTGTCCTCTGCACACATGGCTCCTGCGCCTACGCATAAGCAGTGCTGTCCCCAGCTCCGCTCCACGCGGGCCTGTCAACGGGACTGCCTCTGCAGCTGCAGGCAGAATTTGATCGAGGTACAGAAAACAAGTGTGACGCACTGGCACTTTTCACTCCCTCCATTTTAATGCCTTTCACTGACAACAAAATAGAAATTATGTCTTTAAAAAAATAAAGATATACAACCACTTATCTTAAAAAAAAAAAAAAAAAGCACACTTAATGGTAAGGACGAAGCAAATAGAGATATCTTGGGAGTTTTCATGATGTTTCTGAAGAATTCTAAGATTAAGTAATTCTAACAGGTCAAAAAGAAAGACCAAACCAGAAAATTCTATCTCTTTAGATAAATCGTGACAACTATAACATTTACAATGCTTAATTAATTATTCAAGGGGGAAAAGTTGGTTTGGGTTTTTTTTTAATGCTTTATGGAATTTTAGATTGAGCAGTCTTCATTTGTTTTATTCTTGAGTCCTGTATTATAAAAGGTTTCACAAAACTGCATTAAAAATAAAAGCAATTTTTCTTCTCATTGACGAAACCTTAAATTTTTCTTAACTGAATGGTCAGCCTGAACCCACACCACTCTACATGAAACAGGGAGAAGACAGCAGATCAAATGGGCTTGCTTTCTCAGAAAATGTGTAAGCCACAAACGAACAACAGACAGTGAGAGAGTGAGTACATACCCGTGTGAGTTCTCAGGTGCGCTTTTAAGTGAGAAGACTTTGTATAAACTTTCGTGCAGCCTAAAACAAAACAAAGCAAAAAAGTAGAGAGGCATTTCAGTAAGGAGAAGAGGAAGACTCCACGTTACATTTAAACTTCCTTACTCAGTGCTGGAGTACTATCTGGAAACATTAGGTTTACTACCTTCTGGCACCGACACAATTTAGAAGTAAAATTTTATATACAAAGCTCCTAGGGATATGTTGCTTTACACCGAGAAGAGAAAAATGTGTACACTTCTGACAGACTTACTACCTTGTAATGCAGTATAGACTAACACCTGCTAGGTAAGATAACAACTCAGAGGGGGGCTTTATTTTTTAAAAATTTCCTAGAGGATTTGATCAAGCCAGACTCAGTGTCATCATTACCCATAGGGCCTGGCATAACTCTTCCACCAAGCATTCATCACAAGGCACACCAAACAGGTGATACACTGCCCAAAGTTAGTTGGTAAAGGGGGAGATCAACCATGAGCAGCAATTTCTTTCTGTGCTCAGATGGGTGTGAGCGTCTGTATCTGGGATCATGTACTGCGTGGAGGCACAGTTTTAAGTCAGGTCCCTCTCCCCCTTCAGCATAGAAGGAGAGGCTGGAAGGGAATCCATTGTGGGTGATTTTCAGAGGTAGCTTTAATAGACTTATGCAGGCAGCTGAATCCTCTGTTTGTAACAGCCATAGCCGTGGCCTCAGCTACCGGGAGCTGAAATGACTCTTTCAGAGCCAACAGATTCAAACTGAGCTGTACGGTGTTGGACAAGCTGAGACTCTGCTCCACCACAGGTATTGGAAAAGTGAGAGCCAGAGCTGCACAGTCACACTGACTTACATCAGAAAAGGCCACAGTTCTTTAACCTACTTTTTTTTTGTATGGAGTACAAGTTTTGCAGCATGGTAAAATGAGCTCAGGTGTTAAAAGAATTACAAATGACATGAAGAAAAGGGTTTATATTATTTAAAGAATGTGAAAGTGTGCCACACCAAATAAAACAATAAAGATGAGAAATTCTACTTTGACATAAAATTATTTGGTTCTCCCTAGGTGTAGATTACAGCTAAAGAAAACCACTTATACACCATCCTTGATTATTCACACTTTATTATAAGAGTTGGGATCTTCTGGCACAGATTGCTTACCGGGATAGTCACAGTAGTGGATACGTCTTTTCTCCAAATCCGGGTTACTTCTCCTGTTGTATCTGACTGGTTGGATGCTCTGGGGGGTTATCGGCAGAGTCGCTGGTAAATTCGGATTGTGAATTGCCAGCTTGGAAGCTATAGTTGCGGCGTATGATGGAGGAGGGGTTAAATTCTGTAGCATCTCTGCTTGTCTGTCTGGACTTCCAGGCTCTGAGCTTGGGGGAGAAGGAGGGAAATAAGTAGCCTGCTGCTGCAGAAACTGGTTTGGCATGGTGTAGGTGCAGGGGGGGATGCCCTGGAACTGTTTCATCGCAGTCTGTGGAACAGCCGAGGAGAGCGTGTTAAGGCCCGCCATGGCTGACGGCATGGAGACATTGTTAAGGGAGTCCATCACGGCTGCCTGAGTAGTAGAGTTGGGCATATCTAAATCCGGTGAGCTCAAGAGCTGATACAACTGGCCTTGCTGGGACGTGACGGAAAGATGAACATCTGGATTAGGAAGCTCCTGCTTGATGAAAATGTTGTTCACGTCGGGAGTCTGGTGGGAGCTGAAGATGCTGGTAAATTCAGGGAGGGCCTGAGTGGGGGCAGGGGCAGGGGCAGTAGTTTCGCTCTGGTGACTGAAGATGGTGACTGGCTCTGTCTTGATGTGGGTTACACAGGATCGCTGAGATTTGTACAGGCCAGTTCTCAGGTGGCTGATGTCGGGGAGGAAGACGTTCATGTTGATGCTGTAAGGCAACCCTTCGCTGTCAGTGAAGAACTGGTCAACAACCGAGGCACTGTCTCTTCTGTATTTCTTATGTTCGGGGATGACGGGAACGGGTGGGAGCTGAGGTGCCAGGTATTTCTCCATTTCACATCTTGTCTACAAAAACAAAACAGACCATAACCCACATGATTTGTTACCAAGTAAGAAAGATGATGGCATGCAAGTCGCATGAGGCTTAGCAAATAAAAGGCAATACTGTTCAGCCAGCCACAAGCTACCTAAAGAGGAAGTTATAAACATCCACGCTAATGAAAACCTGTCTTTTATAATCGACGTGCTAATCAACATCATCAAGGACAAGGAGATAAAGTCATGGCACAAGTCGTTCACGCAGAGTGAGCATCAAGATCAAACCGATGTTTCGGCATATGAAAAACTTTTCATCTTTTATGCCTACAACACAGTGCGAGGCAGCAGAAATGACAGGAGCTGTGCCTAATCTGCAGATCTCCTGCTCTGGAATTCACTGCTCGAGCAGGGTGACTGCCTATCTGTTTCACCCGCTTCTCTAGCTTCTCTTTGAAATGCTAACTCTAAAAGCCACATCCTCAGCTGGCTATTTGAATGCCAATACTTCAAAAAATGTTTATATATATACATTTTTCTCTGCTTCCAGGATTTTTCATCCTTAAAAGTATTTGATTAGAAATAAGACACCAAAGAGTAAAGTTATAAATAATATTGAATAAAAAGAAGACGGGATGACTGCATCAGACTACCCTTTGTGTAAAGTGTCTCCGGGACTACACTTTAAAAAAACACCCCAATCTGTGGAGTGTATAATTGGCTAATAGCGTGATAAACATGTCCCTGTCCATGCCTCGGTCTTAGGAGAGCTCTGTAATTACTGGGAAATCATTCCCTTAGCGTAGTGGTGCGAGGGAATCCGTGGGTGGCTGGAGCCCGATACATTACTGGTACAGTCATCGGCAAAACATTTATCACGCACTCTCCAGTGGGCAAATGCTACATTCCCCCCTGCTCTGTCAAGAGAGCGCTCATACCAGACCCGTTTAGCACCCCGCAAGAGAAAGCAGCTGACAAACAGCAGCTCTGCCCGAAAGTGGATTTTAGGACCTTTCTTCAAAGACCCCCGGTAAACACCACAAACAAACAGAGCCGCCTTCCCGTCCCTTTGATCTGGATCTGCCCCGACATGCCAGGCTACTTTTTCCAGCTCTTGTTTACGAGCCGAGGGCAGCTCGCTTTGAAGACGGGAGTTATTTATTCGTTGGGGAAAGCCACCGCCGAAGCGCAGCGCCCGGCAGACCGCTGCCCGGCCCCGGGGGCTCCCCGGGACCCCCACGGGCGCCCCCC